TTTGTTTTATAAATGTTATGCTCTTTTTATTCAGTTTTCCTTTTTTATAGATGGAATGCCATCTGTTGATTAAATGTCCAATGACAGAGGTAACCTGTCCTTATTCCAAAGCTGGCTGTCCATTTCAGGTTCGTACTGAATATAATGTAATGAACGAAGCATCAAAAAAACAGTCAGTGTCAGACCATTATCTTATAACGTTAGCTCCTGACTACCACTACTCTATTTTTAAATATAATGTAATGAATTGTTATCTATTTCAGCCCAGTTTATGGCGTTCGCTCGATCTTCAATAACTGATTCGAAAACCAGACTCATTTAGGGGTTACAGGAAATGTCTCTGTAGAGGGATTTTTTTTTTGTATTCATCTTTGATAGAATTCGATCGCACAAATGTTGCTCTTGGAAAATACGCTCTAGATTTTTGGCTTAAAATACCTTAAAGAAGGAATAGGTTTCTGCAGACTGTCATTCTTAATGGTGTAAGGCTGAAACAATTCGACAAGGAGCCATGGCAAGTGAGATTGTTCAATAGTATGTTCTTATGCAGCTGTCTTATCAGTCACTGAGCTGTTGTGTTAGTCACGTGTTGTGTATGTTTTTACAGGACAAAAGAGCTCATCTTAATGACCACATAGAGGCAAGCGTAGAAGACCATTTGGAACTGACATGGTCCTCACTGGTTGCAGCGAAACAAGAGCTTGACAACATGAAAGATCTGCGGCAAAAATTCCATGAAATTCAGAAAGTTAATCAAAAGCTGACAGAGTCTGTGGCTGATTCTCGTGAAGAGGTTCGAGATTTGACATTGACGGTGAAAAGTCTCGAAATACAAAATATCCAGCTAAAGAAGTGGATGGAAGACATGGCAAGGAAGACGGCAAAAGGAACGCTGACAGAGTCTGTGGCCGATACTCGTAAAGAGGTTCGTGCTTTGAAATTGGCGATGCAAAATCTCGAAATGCAAAATATTCAACAAAAGAGATCGATGGAAGGCATGGCAAGGAAGATGGAATTTGAAATGAAGAGTCTGGAGATGCAAGCTAAAGCTACTCGTGCTTGTGAGAGAGCACAATTTGGTTCTCTCCAGAAATCATTTCCCACCCTGCCCATGATGCCAGCTAGTTCATCAGCCTTAACTGGCATGTACGCGTCGCCTCGTGAGGAATCGAGAAAAGTTCAAGCTATACCAGAATCAGCGTTAACTGGCATATACGTGTCGCCTCGTGAGGAATCGAAAAGAGTTCAAGCTATACCAGAATTAGCCTTAACTGGCATGTACGTGTCGCCTCGTGAGGAATCGAAAAAAGTTCAAGCTATACCAGGATCAGCCTTAACTGGCATGTACGTGTGGCCTCGTGAGGAATCGAAAAAAGTTCAAGCTACACCAGAATCCAATCTTAATGCGTCGTTTACATTAAAANCGGTGAAAAGTCTCGAAATACAAAATATCCAGCTAAAGAAGTGGATGGAAGACATGGCAAGGAAGACGGCAAAAGGAACGCTGACAGAGTCTGTGGCCGATACTCGTAAAGAGGTTCGTGTTTTGAAATTGGCGATGCAAAATCTCGAAATGCAAAATATTCAACAAAAGAAATCGATGGAAGGCATGGTAAGGAAGATGGAATTTGAAATGAAGCGTCTGGAGATTCAAATGTTTCAAGCTAAAGCTACTCGTGCTTGTGAGAAAGCACAATTTGGTTCTCTCCAGAAATCATTTCCCATCCCGCCCGTGATGCCAGCCAGTTCATCAGCCTTAACTGGCATGTACGTGTCGCCTCGTGAGGAATCGAAAAAAGTTCAAGCTATACCAGAATCAGCCTTAACTGGCATGTACGTGTCGCCTCGTGAGGAATCGAAAAAAGTTCAAGCTACACCAGAATCCAATCTTAATGCGTCGTTTACATTAAAAGATTAACTCTCATAACACCCACAAACAGATAAAGCTTTTTCATTGCCGGTAAATGTTAAGCTAAAGCAAAGGTTACTTTGTCGTCAGCGCGCACTGACTTATTTTGAGAATTATCGTTTAACGTAATTCTATTCAAACCATATGAACAGATGTTTATCTGCGGACTGTATATCGAAGAAAACTGTAGCCTGCGTAGCTTGGGGGTTTACGCAATTTTCTAAGCAATTTGAGCGCGAGCGCACAGATGTCTCTCTCCCAGGCTCCTCGCGGCGCTCGTTATTGCGGCTTTGCCGCTTTCTTAGGTCGTTCAAATTGCTCAAAAACCGCTAAGCTACGCAGGCTAAGAAAACTGTGAACCTCTTGAAACTGAAAAATATCGCTTAATTTCGTAAGATTGTTTTAAAACAGAATACAAAGGATTGTGTTATAATCTCGGGCCGTTTTATACGCCATTTACACCAGCTAAACTGGTTTAGCTAAATCATGTTTAAGTTTTTCCAATTTGTCTATTACGCTTTAATTTGTAGTCATTTTGAGGCGTGAGACAAATTTCAAAACACCTACCCCACTTAAGTTGTGGGGTGTGTACGGTCTGAGCAACTAATTTTTAACCTTTAGAAATAAAAACAAGTTGTCGCTGTGTAGCACTTTGAAATGCATTTGTTTAAGTTATGAAAAAGTGCTCATGATGTGGTATTTTTAGAGACGTTTCGGAAAAACCCCTTCATCAGTCGTAGCGTTACGACCTATGAAAGGATTTTTCCCGAAACGTCGCTAAAAATACCACATCATAAGCAAAATTAAGCACTTTTTGTTATTTTTTAACCTTGTTTAGTTAAGCCACTTTTAAACATGTTTAATATGTTGGTAACTATACAGAAATGCCGTAGAATTCCGAAAGTAACGCTCCTCCCGAAAATAACCGCTCCCTGAAAGTAACGTTAAGTTTTTACCTTCCTATTGAAGTGGTCCCCCCGAAAGTAACGGCCTACCGGAAAGTAGCGGCCCTTTGAAGAAGTCAGTCAAAGAGAAACTCTCTGTTTTCAAGGGCAATGAGGCTGGAACAGCCTAACTGCAGGACTGAACAACTTGAAGAGTTATTTTTTATTTTATTTTGAACTAGACTCAGTGAAGTTTTCTTGAAACTATGATTTATAAGCTGTATTTGTCTAGCAGCAGAGTCAAATGAATGTACCATAGTGTGATCAGTTGTACTGCGATATATTGCGACCATTATACTTTCGGCCTACAGTACCAACGGTTAGGGCTTTCTTTTGTTTATACAGTCTGCTTTGGTTATGTGGGAAGTTAGGAACCTTTTAATTTCATGTGTTACGCGTCCGCTTTGTCTGAAACAACTGTTACCGTACAAACGGTTTTTAACCATCCGAAAGTTACAGCTACCCGTAAGTAACGGCTATCCGAAAGTAATGGCCCCTTTCGCCTACTAAATCCGAAAGTAACGACCCTCGTTACTTTCGGAATTCTACAGCATTGCTTCTATATGTTATTTAGTCTGCTTTTCGATGGTGTTGTAATTACATGTACTGATGAGAGAAGCTGGAGGTTTCAACGTTTTAATTCAGATCGCTCAGCAATTTTGTTCTGCCTTGAAAGTAAGGATCACCAAGACTAACTGACATCATGTGTCATATGGTATCTCCGCCCATCATTGGCCCAATTTATAAGACGGATCATCCGTCAAGACGAATCATCCGTCTAGACGGATCATTCGTCTAGTATAAATACGGGAAAGCGCGACGAAAAGGCTTGAGCACTAGTCGTTAAGTCGTGTCAATATTGGCGCGAACTTTCAAATTGCTCTGTTTCAGTCCAGACACGTTCTTCCTTGGATTTTTTTGACTTGTCCAAACAACCAGCTGACTTTTCCGCCATCTTGAAATTTGTAGTTTATTGAAAATAACCGCTGGCTCCATGTAACGGGGTGTAAGTTTCGTGGATAGTTCGACTTTCGCCCGTATTTATACACACAGACGGATCGTCCGTCGAGACGGAGTTCGTGGGTCAAGACGAACTATCACGATAATTTGTCTAGACGGGTGATCCGTTTGTTTGCCCGTATTTATACACAGACGGATTATCGGACGAGCTATAGTTCTTTGCCCAAGTTCATTCCAGACGGATGATCCGTCTCTAGTGATAAATCCGTCCATTGCTGAATAGCAAGTCAAATTAACTTTGAGATCACCGCTGTTGAGGATGTTGCTATGTTTTAGAGAATTTCAATCACTACTTTTTTTTCGGGGTAGGGGTGGGATTACATGGTGGAAGGGTCATTACTTTCGCTAGGTTTGTTCTTTCGATTCCTATTTCAGAGTTTAAACTTTAATTCAACCGGCCAGAACTGCTGAATCAGAAAAATCCATCTTTTTAAGCGCCAATGCTGTGTATTTTGAGTCAGAAGTCTCACTGGATGAACATTCAAGAAAATAACTCTGTATGTGTGTATTTTAAGCTTACAACTGGTAATCAGTAGTAGGGACCTTTCTAAATCTAATCTGTTGTTACCGTTGTTTACGCATTTAATNCCATGTCTAATGCTCTTCTTCGCCATTTGTTTGTCAGCAACGCCACGAGTGCCGCCATATTATTTTTGATCTATCGCCAAGCTTCCACTCGGCTCAACACCAAAACACCCGTCGTGTAACACGCGAAACGCGTAACGTAAATGTAGTTAAAATATTCGTCAAAATTCGTCTTCGGAGTCATACTTAGACGACTTATCCGTCTGACGGATAATCCTTCTAGACGGATAATTCGTCTCTAGTATAAATTCGGCCATTTATACACACAGACGGATCATCCGTCTAGACGGAGTTCGTGGGTCAAGACGAACTTTCACGATAATTTGCCTGGACCGATGATCCGTGTTTGCCCGTATTCATACACAGACGAATTATCGGACAAACTTTTATCGTTCTTTGCCCAAGTCCATCCCAGACGGATGATCCGTCTCTAGTGATAAATCCGGCCATTGCTGAATAGCAAGTCAAATTAACTTTGAGATCACCGCTGTTGGGGACGTTGCTATGTTTTAGAGAATTTCAATCACTACTCTTTTCGGGTTAGGGGTGGGACTACATGGTGGAAGAGTCATTACTTTCTGTACGTTTGTTCTTTCGATTCGTACTTCAGAGCTTTAAACTTTAGTTCAACTGGCCAGAACTACTGAATCAGAAAAATCCATCTTTTTAAGCTCCAATGCTGTGTATTTTGAGTCAGAAGTCTCGTTGGATGAACATTCAAGAAAATAACTCTGTATATGAGTATTTTAAGCTTACAGCCGGTAATAGTAGGGACCTTTCTAAATCTAATCTGATGTTACCGTTGTTTACACATTTAATACTGCGCATTAATTTATTTTAATGTTTTACTGAGTTCGTGGAGCTTTCCTTTTGCCTGGGCCAAATTTTCATTTGTGTTGCTAGGTATCAGTAAACTTTGTTTATACTAGCGAGATAACGACATCAGAAGACAAAATGACTGAAAAAAAATAGCCGGTTTTTTTTGTCGTTATTCTTGTGTCATTATGTTCCCGGTATGTTATTATATTGTGTTGTTTACGATAGTGGCTGAAACAACAACGAGCGGTGAGTCTGTCTATAAGGTTTGTGCGACCTTGCACAAACTCATTCCTGTCTGTCCTGCTCAGTGCGTACTGGCACGAGCAGGTTAAGAATCACAACGCAGTTCTAATGCAAAGTAACAAGTAGCAAATACTGTACCAAGCACTATCCATGTAGTATACTAATATTTTAAAGTTCTGTTTGAGCCACTCAAGGCTAACAGCAATGAACCCCTTACATCAGTGTTTACAAACAAAACGCCANTGTCGTTATTCTTGTGTCATTATGTTCCCGGTATGTTATTATATTGTGTTGTTTACGATAGTGGCTAAAACAACAACGAGAGGTGAGTCTGTCTACAAGGTTTGTGCGAACTTGCTTTGGCTCATTCCAGTCTGTCCTGCTCAGTGCCTAGTGGTACGAGCAGGTTAAGAATCAAAACACAGTTCTAATGCAAAGTAACAGGTAGCAAATACTGTACCAAGCACTATCCATGTAGTATACTAATATTTTAAAGTTCTGTTTGAGCCACTCAAGGCTAACAGCAATGAACCCCTTACATCAGTGTTTACAAACAAAACGCCACATTTATTAAATACGTCAAATAAATCAATGTTCATAAATAAGATGTCAGGTCGTGTCACAGTTCATCGCATAAAAATTGTTCAAAAAAAGGAAGCTTGCCGGAGACCCCTTGGGGGGGTACTTCCAGAAAAGGTGTGTTCGGCTCACTTCCCAAAACCCTTACCCTATTTATGACCAAAATCTGCGTTTTTTGCTACCCTATTTATGACCTAACCAAAAATTCGATAGCCTTTTTATGACCGATGCGGCTGACACAGTTGCTCCAAACATAAATTATGAAGGGCTGTTGTTGATGGTCTTATTGATAATGATGAAAAAGTAGCTTCTTCTAAGAAACATACCCAATTCAAGACTAGAGTGCT